AAAATAGCCGTTTGACCCTTTCAAAAAGACCAATTCTTCTTATAAATCATATAATAGGTATTCAAAAAAACATGAGTTAAAATTTAATAACCTGGCCAGTCGGTCTACAACGCACTGTATGAATATGAATGTGTCCATTGTAAATCGATGGCCTTCAAAAGTACACATATAAAACGGTTGGAGGACTCATCAGGGGCGTACTAACAAGTAATTGTACAATCGAATTGATGAATCAAAAAATTTTATTATGCGGTGGTGCTATTTAAAACGATTTATTTTAAAGTCGATTTTTCAAATATGCTTTATAGTGTTGCATAAACATCGATAGTATATTGATAGCATCGACAGTAAATCAACTATCGAAACCATCGATAATTTTATAAAGATCTATCGATAGTCGGAACATCTCTAGAGATAACCCGCTGCGGCCGTCAAGTCGAGTGATCTTTCACATGAAAAGTGTGTATTTGCGTCTTTTTTTAACTACCAATATTAAAGTAGGATGCCAATTGCCACTGCAGTCAGTTTTCTCAATGGGTTACACTTTAAAAATGAAAAATGAAATAAAAGTTCAAGCCTTTCGATTTTCCCAACAATATGACGTGCTATCGGAAAATTGCATTTGATTTAACTGTAAGGCGAATATACAATACTGTTTTCGGGGAAATACCAGTGTTTCTTGTTTACTTACATTTTGTTCTTTTCAAATACCTTTTAAAACTATCGATAGTATATCGATACTCTCGATAGTGTTTATCAAAAACTATCGATATTATTAAAAGCTCTGACTATCGATGTTTATGCAACACTAATGCTTTATAGTCCCAATTTTGCAGTTCCTCGAATACATTTTTAGATATTGAAGATGTTCTCTACTGTACCGAGAATTTTAATAAATGGCGTAGGAAATAAAATGTGACAATTAACTTGTCTTAATTTTGACATTTTGGTTTATTTCTGCTTAATATAATCCCCAAATTTAAGCTTTTAATCTCTTGTTAAATGATTTTTTAAAATTCGCCGAAATTAGTGGCTAAAACGCCTCGTTAAGTGCTGCTTTCTGGTGTAACGCGTCTGTAACTATCGTATCGTAGACTCAGTCATCATTCGTTTCTTGCAATAATATACACCAGTTTACACCAGAATATAGCACTTAACGAAGCGTTTTAGCCACTGATTTTTGGCGAATTTTAAAAAATCATTAACAATCCATTAAGAGATTAAATTTTGGAAATATATTAAGAATAGAGCTGTTGAGGAATGCATTTATTTTCATTATATTTCAAAATTTAAATTCCTTTGATATTTTTTCTTGGAAACTGGAAGGAACTAAAACTTTAAAATATATGCATATTCTAGATATAATTGCCTAATTTTATTTTCCCAAAATTTTAATTTTTTAAAAAAATTACTGTTTGAGATATGCTTGTCGGAAAATTATAAGGGGTGCTATAATCACCTTAAGAAATTACATTTATTTTGTACTTATTTTTATTAGCGTCTTAATTTTTTTAAACGACTAATACACCGTTTTTTATTCTTGTCCATTTTAGCATAATTGTAATTGTGAAATAAAATATTTAACATACATATTTCTTAGTATATTTTTTTCAGCAGAATTACGTGCTTTGAATGATATTTAACACATATATGTTAATTGTTTTATATAGTAATCATTAAAAATCATGAAGAACTTTTTTATGTGTTTTGATAGTTAGGATTTGTTCATTAAATGATCATATTTCTAGACTAGCAGTAAATACAACCCTGCAAGATAACAACTAAACGAATTATAGCATCCGAGATGCATTTTGTTATAAATCAGTGATTGGGACGTGTCTACATAACTTCATTACAGATTATTATATTAATCACGATGGTTTGTGGTCATGACAATGCTTTGACAGATCCATCGTCTGGGCGATGATATAAGCTTTATGTTTTATTGTGAACGGTTGTATTTCTTCTTTCGTTTTTATTTCAAGCTTCAGTAGGAATGATTTATGGCTTTGGAATGTTTTTTAGTTTGTTTTTATCCACTTAATAAATTCAACAAATAAATATTGGCTGTCAAATTAAAATCTGGAACTATTTTAGTATATACAGATTTCCTTAAAAATTTTAAACTCAAATCAAATTGTTTCTTTGTATACATAAAGCAGAAGAATGGGATTAGATAACGAGTAATTTTTACAATAGTTTAAAACATGTTTACCGTTGTTTTTTAACAGCACAAATATAATAAATAGCAACCTCGAAAAGCTAGTAAATTATTGCGACTTTTTAGCCAATTAAAGTAGAAAAATATAAATGGTATTTCCTTTAGATAATGTGTTAAACAGATATCACTCACACTAGACGTACATGATACATTACAACGACTTACATATACCTACATAGTATATTGCTTGCACGTGCATTACCACATAATTAGCAATGTTTTGAAATCGTTTTGACAATTAATATCCTATGCAGGTTGTAATAGACACTGAAGATAATTTATTACTTCTTGATAATGGTACAAAAATGCACAAATAAAATCCTGTAGCCATAGTCTCATTAAAAAAACATTTTATTCTCAATGTAGCTTCTTTTTAATACTATGAAGACTCTAAAGACAGACACCATAACGTAATCTGGAGTCGACTTGTGCATAGTATAAAACGAAAATGTTTGTCAAATTAAGAAAGAAAAACTTCATTTAGTTTATTTAAGAGATGAAGTTTTCTCACAATGGTACCTTCAGTTAAGGTTTTCATCCAATAAAATGACTGAAAATTTAATGACAAAAATCGAGATATATACAGCATATACCGTAATTTGGGGGCAAGTTGGTTACCACGGGGTACCTTGGTCACCTATGACGTAATTTTTGTTGTTGTTTATATTTATCCGGCTGTTTTTTTTTGTGGATTTTCAGGTCCCTCTTGTTTGTTTCAGGTAAATAGTAAAAATGGTAAAAAAGTATCAAGATTATTCTAAAGAAAATTTGGAAAAAAAGCCATAGAAGCTGTTGAAATAGGTATGTCAAACAAATTAGCTGCCGAAACATATGAAATACCTAGGACAACTATAGCTCGAAAGATATTTGGAAAACATTCGGGTTCAGTAGACCACCCAAGAGTCCTGTCAGCCGAAGAAGAGCGGAGTATATTAGGAACCCTTGGAGTGGTAGCCAATTGGGAGTTCCCATTGATGTAAGGACGGTAATTGCTAAATACCTAGACAAACAAGGAAAAATACTCTAGGAGAAGGTTTTCTGGATGCATTTATCCAGAGAAATAGGCTCTCCATTCGTCTGGCATCGAACATTAGAAGGCCCAGATCTTCTGTGGACCGTGCAGATATTAAAAAAGTTTTCACGAATATAAATGAGGCTCTAAGGGATGCTGACAATTTTAGTATATACAAATACGAAAAAACTAACGTCACGGATGATCCTGGGGCCAAGAAAATGGTGGTCCCCTGAAATACAAAAAGGGTAGAAAGGGTACAAAACCACTCTCGTACCTTCATTAGCATTATGGTGTGCGGAAACGCGAAGGGGATCTCCTGCCCCCCATGGTTGTCTATAAATCTGGACACCTTTATGAAAACTGGACAGAAGGAGGCCTCCAGGAACGAAATATGCAAGCAGCCCTTCTGGTTGGTTTGACATGAATTTTTTCAAGATGTGCTTTTTCAAAATCCTCCTCCCGCACATAATGGATACCCGAAAACTCGGTGCCACAACTATTGTGGTGGGTGGATAACCTCGCCTTCAGTTATTGAGTCCTGTAAAGGGCGTGTTATTTATATTACTCCATCTCCAGCAAACGCCATCTAATGCCACTGGATGTGGCTGTATTTGGACCGATGAAGAAGTTCTGGAGAAAGATTTTAGACCAATGGTGAAAAGATAGCCGATATCCAGGAAATTTTAAAAGAACAGTTTCCGAATTTGCTCTCTAGGTTATGGAACGACATGTCTGAAACTGTCACCCAAAATTTGATATTTGGATTTCGAGCCACTGGGCTTTATCCACCTGATCCAAACAAGGTCTTGAAGATAATCTTGATGGAATCATACCAGACGATCGAGACGCAATTGGAAGATCTCTTGATGCATCATTGGTAGATCTTCTGAGAGAACACAGAGGGGTTGGCAGCGAAGCAAATCCGAAGAAAAAAAGTGGAAAGAAAATTTAACCTGGTAAAAATTTGGCAAGAGATGCAGATAATGAAGTGGCTCCCACAGATGCCACAGATGAACCTATTGTAACTGTCCTTGTAGACCTTGTAGGCCCCAATAAAACCATTAAGTCTCCCACTACTCAAGCATTGGAGCCAGTAGATGTCCCGGGACCGTTTGGTGTTGTTAGAACGAACAAAATTATATTAAATGCGATTACTGTGACGATTCAGATGCATCAGAACCATTGGAATATCAAGATGATTCTGGGGCAGACAAAGACTACATACCTAGTGATAAAGATAATTAAGTTTAAGTCAAGAGTGTTACCTGAGTTACATTTGACAGTTCCTTTTTTTATATGTTTTTATAAGTTATTTTTGCATCTATATGTACGTAGTTTCCCCAGATTACGGTAGTTTTTGTAATAGAATATAGATTTCTTTAGTAGTTTTATATAGAGTTTAATATATTATGCCACTAGAGGGCGCCTCATTACTTATTATAAATGACAGATGACATTGTCTCTGACAGTAGTTTTTTGATGTTCATTGTTTTCGTGTCCTAATAAACAATACACTAAATTAAATAATGTATGATTTTATTTTTATAATTATTCCAACGATTAATACAGTTTTATTTTAAAATAACCAACTATTCTTAGATAAAATCGGTATATTAATCATAAACAATTATATATTATTTTTATAATAGTTTATCTTGTTCTTTATGCCCTTTTAAACACTTCAGATCACGTTCTTCCTCTACTGACTATAGTAAATAATTAAGAATATTAATATACTTAAGACTATAAGACTATAAGACTTACCGTCGACGTATAGAAGGGCGCCTGATCAGCTCCTAGAGCAGGAAAATAGGCGGCCATACCTTCGGGATAGGGGGCGCTGTACATCGACAACGCGGGCAAGCCTGGCACACCGGCACCAGCCAACCTTTGATAACCTAAAAGTTCGTACTGGCACGAACACACGCTTTGGCCCGTTATGGGATCGGTAAAGATCGGCCTGCCGGTATCACAACATCTTTGGGTGGGCGTCGGTGGGGTGCCGGGCGTCGGAGCTGAAGAAGTCACTGCCATTGTCGTCGGAGGCGAAGAAGATTGACTAGGACCCGATGATACCGTAGTCTGAAATTAAAGAAGAGTACTGTTAGATTATTTTCTGAGCAATAATTAGTCATCATATAATTGAAATAAAATTGTTAAAAAATGCCTTTTAGTAGATTTTGCGAGTAATAGTTATTTATGTACCAAGGGCGTAAAACAGGCGTTTATGGACCGCAACACGTAAGGGCCATAAACGCTGTTTACTCCCGAAATACATACAAAACTTTATGCACGACCCTTTTAATGATACTTTATTTTAATGATCGTTAATTAATAATTAATAAATAACTATTATTTTCTCTTTTTCGCCTTTTGTGAGCAGGTTATTATAACATAAATTTATTAAAGTAGTTTACGGATGATAAAGAAGTCCGCGGGCGATAAAGGGTCACTTTACGCCCGCTAAACGTATTTATAATCTGGACTTTATCGCTCGGTCGTGCATAAAAGTAATTTTTAGCATTCTATTTATATATCCACTTGACAAGAGTATAAAATTTAAAATTGGAATTGTTTATCTAGCAGGTAAAGTATAAATTTAGATTACAATAAAATTAGACTGCAGTTTATCGGCACCAGAAAAAAAACCATCAAATAATAGAAAGTTGAGAAATATGACATGTGTAGATACAATAATTGCTTTAACTTGAGGTTATCACTACCACCCATTAGGAAAATTTAGTTTAATTAAAAACTTTTCTCAAAGTACAATTTAATTATAAAAATATCAAAATGATAGTAAACAAGTTGTTAAAGTAAGGCAATTTTTTCTTCTTGCATCAACATTTAGAAATAACCATTGTAAATTAATTAGTCATTAATTAAATTTTTTTATAAAAACAATACAAAGTTATTTGTTAAATTGTTAAATGACACAAAAACGTTACCATCTGCGGTAAGTAGAGTGTACACGACACCAATTTTCTTATAACCGCCTACAATATTACTTGAAGGTTTCATTTTCGTATTATTTTTCATTTACTTCCTGCCCATGGGATAGCTAATGTATAATGATGATTAAAATGTAACAAATAAGCACATTTTTGCGAAATAAAAAAACTGATACTGTACCTACGCAAATGTCGATTTTGCAATTTATAGATAATTTTCTAAATGGTTTAAAAAATGGTATAGATTTTGTCTTTGTTATGATTTTAGATTTACTTTGTGGAGTCAGCTAACGATTTTATCAATATTTAAATTATATTCCGGAATGATTATTTTAAAAGTACACAGTTAGTTAGAAAATAGAATTTTTAGTACATAATCAGTAGTTGTAAAAATTATTAATATTTTTAGAACTTCATATTGTTGAAGTATGACAACCATATGACAATAAATTTAAAAATCTTTCTTTTTATATTTCGTTTTTTTATTATTTATGAAACTCTTTTTTATCATTATTTCCAATTATTAAATTATCAATTCCATCACTTAGGAAACATCAGAAAACTTATTTTCCGAATAACTGTAAATTATAAGTACTAATAAGTAGTAGAGTGCTAGCCACTACTTCTGTTGTGGCCACATTGCAGTCTCTACTAAGTTATTTAAGAATTGATGCGCCAATTTAAACCGGAGTTACTGTTACAGTTTTCTATCTTGTGTGTAGTTTGATATTCAAATAGTAGATAGTTATGCTGTCAATTTTAATTTCTGCTGATTTGTGTAGACTAGACAAGAGAGAAGGGGACAAATCAGCATACCTGAAATACTGTTCCAAAAAATGAACGCTAATTAAGCTTTTATAAATCACCGCAGAGGCGCTGGTGTCGTAACTAATGTTAGAAATACAATAAAAATGGCTCCTAAAATTAAGAAACAGTGAAAATATTAAGCAGAAACAGAAACGCTTTGCTTATTCACTAACTAAACTTATAATTAAAAAAGCCTTAGAAGCCACTCAAAATGTTATAAGAGCAAGTAAAGGACACAATGTTCCTTGAATAATCATAAGAAATAAACTTTCTGGCAAGAGCTCTATTGACAACCCACGACATTGCTGACCTGAATCAATTTTAGGAAAAGAGAATGAAGAGGTGTTGGTTAACTGTACAAAAATGGGATTTCCAATTGATAAAAAAGGACTCCTTTTTTCTGTTGAAAAGCTGGTCGATAGTGCCGATTTGGAGACTCCTTTTGTAAATAATGAACCAGGGAAGAAACGGTATTATAATTTTTTAAAACGACATTTACATTCAGTTCTTTCTCAAAACATGCCTAATATGTTAACAATGCAAGAGGTACTGTATAGAGTAGTTAGTAGAAGTTTCATCCTTATTGGAAGACGGTGATGTGTTAAGTAATCCTCAACGCATATTCAACATGGACGAGACCTAGAGGGCAAAATGTTTATTATGAGTCCATAAATTCTGACAAAAAAAAATGTGACCCCATTATTTGCAGTAAATTCATTGTGTGAATTCGCTTGCAGTCTGACTTTATACAAGTACGAATGAAACCCAGCTTCATTATTTAGAAAGGCTCCACTAAATTGGTCACTGGTAGGACAAAAAACAAGGGATGACAGGCAAGAGTTTTTTTTTTGATACATTGCCAATGTTTTTGTTCCTTATTTGAAAAAAAATTATCCCTTTGCCAGTTAAGGTATTTCTTAATGGTCATGAATTGCATTTGACTTTGGAGTTAAGCCGTTCCTGTCGTCAAAATAAAATAATACTTGTGCCATTATATCCTAACTCAATGCACATTTTGCTTATTTTTGGTACTCTAAAGAAAATATGGCAAAACATTGTGCGAAAATAGAGAATTGATCATGATGGCAAGGACATAAATCAAAATGATGTCGATAGCGTTCTGTTAAACAGTATAGAAGACTAGGCAATGTCAAATAATATTATATCTGGATTTAAAACTGTCCATTTTAACATTAGATTTTTTTGAATTTTACCAGAGAACTTCAGGTATTCAAAAAAAAAAAAAATACTGAGGAAATTAAACAATATTTACATTATATTGAAAGCAAGATCAAACCATCTATTCTTGTCCAATTTAGAGAAACCAAAGTTAGGAAATATGATTGGGATAGAAGGCCATAAGCAATAATGTTGTTTGATGTTTGCCTTCAGATATTATTGCGATGATCATATTACAGCCAATAATGACCAAACATTGCCAACTTTATAACAATATGAAACAGTTGGAGAACAAAATTTGGACCAAATAATACCAGAAGAAGATTAGCCACAGAAAACCACCAACGTCCCCAGGATTATCTATTTACTTGCAAAAGAAAAATGAGTAAACACCAGAGATAGAAACGTGTGTCGAAACTCCAGAAAAAATATTTACAGTTTTTGTAGAAGCAATTGTTTCCACTCATACTGACTTGTGGATCCAGGAACATCACAAATGTTGATACTTCCTAAGCGATCTGTGGTCAATATTTAGATGATAGTTTCAATACCGAAACAAAAACCTATTTTGATAAAAGGAAAAGATAATATACCCATAGCGCCATTACTTGTTAATATTGGGTTGAGTATTACGAACTAAAGGACCAACAAAACAAAAAAACTAAAAGAAGAGCGTAAAAATTAAAGAGAAGCAAAATAACATTAAAAGAAAACAAACTAAAATAGCAAGAAAAAGAAAAATAATTGACAAAAACTCTAAAAAGCAAAATACATTTAATAATAAAATTTCTGAAAAAGAAGGAGAATGGGAAGAAAACGGAAACATCACTGAGGACGTACATATTTTTGAATTTGAAACTGCAGAAGTAGATATTTCCCTGTAAAAGAATAAAAAGTAAAAGACTTTGTTTTGGCAAAAATTAAATTTATTAGTAAGAGGACCTCAGGGACTTCTAATATGTTGTTACCATTTTAAACATTTTAACAAACGATGAGTTTGTGACTAAGTGTCTAAAATATTTAGCCGAAAGTAAGCAAAGTTTTCGTTACATTGATAACGATACATCCTTAATAAATAAATCCGACCATTTAGGAAAATTACCAGAAAAAAAATTAGTTAAGGAGACAAATTTTCCAAGTCTTATTGATGTTTTTAAACAAATTTATGGCTTATGAAATGATAAAGTTATATTAAAATTAAAAATTAATAAATAACATTTTTATCTAGGAATATTAGATGGCATTAAATGGAGAGACCTGGAGGCATTAGTGGAAAAGTGTGGTCATAAGTGGGGAAATGTACATTTTCTGTTAAGAGGAATATAGTACCTTCTTCTCTAAAAACAAAGAAGCTTAAAATATGATTTATTAAACGTTTTATTTTACAGCGAATGGGCGTATACATTCAGACAAAAAATTTCAAAATTAGCCGAAAATATATACCTAGAACTAGACGAATAGAAATTAAGAGCTAAAATTCTGCAGAGCTATTTACCCTTTTATTAGTGAGGTGTGGGTGCATAAGTTTTAAAAACAATTTATTTTTAATACGATTTCCATGGTCATATTTTCCTATAATTAAAACACAGATAAGCAAATCATTTAAAATCGTATTAAAACTAAAGTGTTTTTAAAACCCAAACACCCAGCCCTCAATAATAAAAGGGTGAAAAGCTTGACTGAATTTCAGCTCATGAGCTCTATTCGTCCGTAATATAACCCTGTATACATTTCGGGCCAATGTTGAAATTTGGTGAGACGTTGATTATATTTAGATATTTCTTAAATAGGAGGGATTTCCCACCCTAGTACATTTAAAAAAAATGCTTTTTGATAAAAGAAAGTAAGGGAAGCGTTTAGGATTCGATTATGAATGTGGACTTTAACTATACGGGTAATACAGATTCATTACTATAAAAATTCAAAATAATTATTAAATTTTTCAAGTTTAATATAATTAAAAAGACCAGATATAGAAATTAAAAGTATCTAATCTGGTGGCCTTGTCAATGCTCTTTTGTTTATTGAAATTAAAACTAATTGTCTTAGCTGTAAATATTGATTAATCGTGTTTTATCAACGGACGACATGGGTGTTCTTGTTCAATGTATGTTTTAGCGTGACATAAACTAAAATAGACATATT